AATACATATGCCAAGAAATTTATCGTTTATCGTGGTCAGGGTTTCATCCAACAAGACTTTGATCATCTAATCGATATAAAAGGCGGACTGCTCTCATTTAACAATTTCTTATCGACAAGTACAGAACAACAAGTCGCCGTAGAATTCGTTCAACGCGCCATGCACAAGAATAAAGACATCGTGGGTGTCCTCTTCATCATGACAATTGATTCAAGTAAAGTTTCAGCTTCAACTACACCATTTGCCCTCATCGACGAACACAGTGCCATCGAAAGCGAAAAAGAAATTTTATTCTCAATGCACAGTGTTTTTCGTGTCGATGATATCAAACAGACGGTCAGCAACAGTCGTCTATGGGAAGTACAATTGACTCTCACAGGCGACAATGATCCACAATTGGCTACTCTTACTCAACGCAGAAAAGGGGAGCTCTTTGGATCCACAGGATGGCACCGATTGGGTGATCTAATGCTAAAAGTGGGTCACTTAAATCAAGCTGAAGAACTTTACAACGAATTACTGGAGAACTCGTCCAGCGACAGTGATAGAGCACATATCTATCATCAGCTTGGATTCTTGAAAAACAATCAAGGACAATACAAAGAAGCAGTTTCATTTTATGAAAAATCACTTGAAATCAACCGAAAAACTCTTCCGGAAGATCATTCTTCATTGGCTTCTACCTACACTAACATCGGTTCGGTGTATGACAGCATGGGTAACTACTCGAAAGCAGTTGAATTTTACGACAAAGCACTTAAAATCTGGGAAAAATCTCTGCCTCCGAATCATCCCTCATTGGCTACTTCCTACAAGAACATCGGTGCAGTAGCGTATTATAACATGGTTAATTACTCGAAAGCACTTGAATTTTACGACAAATCACTTAAAATAGGAGAAAAAGATCTGCCTTTGAATCATTCCGATTTGGCTATTTCCTACAACAACATCGGTTCGGTGTATGACAACTTCGGTAGCTACTCGAAAGCACTTGAATATTGGGTGTGGGTGTGGGTGTCGGTGTATGTATGGGTTTGGATGTGGGTGGGTGTGGATGTGAGTGTAGGTATAGGTTTGGGTTTGGGTTTCAACATAGATCTTTTCTTGACAACACCCACACCTACACCCACACTGTAAAAAATAGGTACTTTCCTGAACCCTCCAAAAAGGTTTTGTAGCTGTCCAAAAGCTTCCAAATGCGTACAAACGTTCAAAAAAACGATTCTAAAAATCTACGAAACCATAAAAGGGTCTGACCGCGGATACACGGGCGGAACCATCTCCTACGAAACCTTTTTCAAGTGCCATACAGCGAAAAAACGTTTCTTAAGAAAATACGAAACCTTTATAGCTTCTTAGTAAACCTTATGGTTTCGCACTACGGTTTTATACAAAACCATTATTTTTACTAGGAAACTATAAAGGTTTCGTATTTTCTTACGAAACCTTTTTTTCGCTGTACGGAACTTGAAAAGGTTTCGTAGGAGATGGTTCCGACAGTGTATCCTCGGTCAGATCCTTTTAAGGTTTCGTAGATTTTTAGAATCGTTTTTTTGAGTGTTTGAACGCATTTGGAAGCTTTTGGACACCTACGAGACCTTTTTGGAGGGCCCAGGAAAGTATCTATTTGTTTTACAGTGCACCCACACCACAACCCACACGCACCCACAACCACATTCACACCCACACTTCGCACCCGCACCCAAACCCCACATCCACACATCCACACCAGCACCCACACCACACACCCACATCCACACCCATATACCCACATCCCATATTGAGGGTGGGCATGGATGTGAGCGTGTATTTTCTTTTCATGTACACCAACACCGACTGCCACACACCATCCAAGGCGATGACACTCAAGTGATTGTGGAGATAATCACTAAAGAAAACTTGGAAAGACAAATAATCCCATGAATGATGTTACAGGGCTTTTTCTACTTTGTTTATTGTTCACAGTTATATTCTCAAGTTAAGCTAGGTAGAGTTTACTGAGTGTCAACGAATAAAAACACTTACATTTGAAATCGTAAGTCTAGAAAAAAGCAGAACACAGCAGCTGTATAAATGAACAACGTGATTTCTGTTCAGCCCATTGCAGATTACTCACAATTCTAGATTATCACTCAAGCGGCATATCATATACAGTATGAGTGGACACGTGTTCAAGACAACAGTTTCTACGTCACAAGTCGATGCCATTACAACTTCAAGAACATCTTCAAATACCATTGAAGCAAAACAACACCGAGTTCAAGATTATTCGTTGATCTGGATAGACGGCAACATTGATGTGGCCAATAAGAATTGTCAAAATGCGCTTGCGCAATTACGCACTGTCATTAATGACGTCCATACTTTCACCCAATCGGATGAATGCGTTGACTTTCTCACTGAAGTCGATGACAGAAAGGTGTTCCTCGTTGTAGCAAGTACTATGAGCCAACCAATGATACCTCTGATACATGACATTGCGCATCTTGACTGCATTTACATCTTTTCTGAGAATGAAACACAATACAAAGAATGGACAACAAACTTGCCAAAAATTCAAGGTATCTTTACAGAAATTGCACAAATTTGCGATTCATTACAAAAAGTCGCTCGTCAATGCGATCACGACGCAATGCCGATGAGTTTCGTTCCAAAAGTGATGGTGGAAGCAACAGCAGCATCTGCCGAACGCAATCTCGACCAATTGGAGCCGTCTTTTATGTATTCGACATTATTCAAAGAAATTTTATTGGAAATCGAGGAAGACGACGCTAAGTCGATGAGTGACCTTGTCGCCTATTGCAGTAACAAAGGTGTTCCTGAATCACAATTAAAGGAATTTCAGGGTAGATACTACGATAAATCGCCAGTTTGGTGGTATACTCGGCAAATTTTCCTCTACGGCATGCTCAATTGCGCCCTACGGTCACTTGACATGGAAGCCATGACAAAAATGGGTTTCTTCATTCGCTCGCTCCATCGACAATTAGAGAAACTTCATCGAGAACAATCGGGTGCCTCTATGACAAAGTTCATCGTTTATCGAGGTCAGGGGCTTTCACAACAGGATTTTAAACATTTAGTCGACTCGAAAGGTGGACTTCTCTCGTTTAATAATTTCTTGTCGACCAGTACAGAAAAACAGGTTGCTATGGGATTTGTTCAACATACCATGCACAAGAATAAAGACATCGTGGGTGTCCTTTTCATCATGACAATTGATTCAAGCAAAGTTTCAGCTTCAACTACACCATTTGCCCTTATCGACGAATACAGTGCCGTCAAAAGTGAAAAAGAAATCTTATTCTCAATGCATGCTGTTTTTCGTGTCGATGATATCAAACAGACGGTCAGCAACAGTCGTCTATGGCAAGTTCAATTAAGTCTCACAGGCGACAATGATCCACAACTGGCTACTCTTACTGAACGCATAAAAGGGGAGCTCTTTGGATCCACAGGATGGCATCGATTGGGTGATCTAATGCTAAAAGTGGGTCATTTCAATCAAGCTGAAGAACTTTACAAAGAATTACTGAAGAACTCGTCCAGCGATAGTGATAGAGCAGATATATATCATATGTTTGGACTGATGAAATTGCATCAAGGACAATACAAGGAAGCAGTTTCATTTTATGAAAAATCACTTGAAATCTACCGAAAAACTCTTCCGGAAGATCATTCTTCATTGGCTCCTACCTACACTAACATCGGTGCAGCGTATTACAACATGGGTAACTACTCGAAAGCACTTGAATTTTACGAAAAATCACATAAAATACTCGAAAAAGCTCTGCCTCCGAATCATCCCAATTTGGCTAGTTCCTACAACAACATCGGTCTTACGTATGACAGCATGGGTAACTACTCGAAAGCACTTGAATTTTACGACAAAGCACATAAAATCTATGAAAAATCTCTGCCTCCCAATCATCCCTTATTGGCTACTTCCTACAACAACATCGGTGTAGCGTATTACGCCATGGGTAACTACTCGACAGCACTTGAATTTTACGACCAATCACTTAAAATAAGAGAAAATTCTCTGCCACCGAATCATCACGATTTCGCTCAATCCTACAACAACATCGGTGCAGCGTATTACGGCAAAGGTGACTACTCGAAAGCACTTGAATTTTACGAAAAAGCACTTAAAATCTACGAAAAATCTCTGCCTCCGAATCATCCCTTATTGTCTACTTCCTACAACAACATCGGTGTTGCGTATGACAACATGGGTAACTACT